GCTTTCCTCAACTTTTTTTCTATAATGTGTGTCCTACAAGACTTTCATATTGCATATCCTGATACATGTGGAATACACTTGCTCAAGTCACCAAACTACTGATGATTCTCAGATCATAATGAACACAGGAGAAGCCGCCTGTCTCCCATACTTAGGCTTTTTCATTCTAGCAAACTACTCATGTAAAATTCAAGTCAAGTCCTGGGTTTTGCAGAGGAACACTTCAAAGACGGACACATAGGGAGGTTTCCAAACAGCTTAAGGCTGATGTGCTTCTAAGAGACTGCTCAAATTGCTCTGTTCAGTGCTTGGACCATGGACTCAGACTAAGTCATCACACTCTTGATACTTAATGCTTTAAGTAAGCTATAATGGCATCTGTTCAGCTATAGAGACTATAAATATGAGCTATAGAGACTATAAATTTTTAATTAAACATTTAGTCGGGACCCTACTGAGCCTCTCTGGAAGCAAGTTTGTAGGACAAGGAAAGCACCACTCTGGAGCCCTGGGCCTTCCTTCTGACAGCACTGGAAGCAGAGCCAGTATGGGCAGGGTCTCACTTGCATTACAGGAATTTCTCCTATTCATTTTTCTCCCAGAAATGGACAAGTCATTAAACCTCTGCACTTCTGTTTATACATTTGTGAGGTGGGGCTAATGCCACCTAATAGAGCAACTACAGCGAAGAAATGAGTCAAGAGCTCAACAAGGTACTGCCAAGTGTGAAGTGCTCTCATCACTTCCCCTGATAAGGCCAGATGGTTTTAGGTGTTTAGGAGAGTCTGTCGGACACTCCTAATTCCACATAGGTGTGAAGCTACAGAAAGTGAGGAAAGGGGTGGAGGTGGTGAAATTCCTTACTGTGCCCAGGTTACTGAGGTCAACACGGGGATGGCATGAGAAGGACCAGAGAGTGTTTAACAGAGAGATAGAAAGTGTTGCCAAGACTGGACCAGGATGGCACAGAGTCACATCTGATGGACACACCCTGGTTTTCCTTCACAAAAGTGATCAACAATCAATTCTACTCACAGACTTGCCTGGAAGCAACTCCTGGGTCTCCTGCTCTAGTCCTCTGCTAGCTGGTGAAGCAGTCTCCTGTGCACGTCACCCAAAATCTCCCTGATCATCTCTTAGCACAGGCACCCTCCCTAAGAGATAGCCCCCTTTCCTTTTAAGCCATTAAAAAGCTTTTTTTTTTTTTTTTTTTGGTGATACTGGGGTTTAAACTCAGGGCCTTACACTTGCTAGGCAGGCACTCTACCACTTGAGCCATTCCACCAGCCCTTAAAAAGCTCTTCTTTATAGTGAAATGAAATCCACATTTAAGGGCAGTAACTGTCCAGTTGTTTCTACTCTCACACTGCCTCCGCTCCTTGCAGAAAGGAAGTAATTTTGTGACAAGATAAGCATACGTTTTTAATGGAGTTTTCTTTCTTAACAACCCAGTAGGGAACTCCCTCATGTGGGCTGGAGGGTTCTAGATGCAATGTGAGACAGTGTGCAACTTTCCAGTGCTGGCCACACATCTGCTGTGGATTACTTTGAGACTCTAGAAGCCAGCAGCTCTGCTGGAGATGGCCAGCGACAACCTCTTTTCATTGTGCTTGCTCCAAAGGGGCAGAAAACTATGCCAAGACAGGTTGAGTAATGGCCTCGCTTGGATGCATCTGAGCAGAGAAAAGCTCTATTTAGGTTTCTGAACAAAACCAAAAATTTGAAATCCACAAAGAAAGCAAAAGTTGTGCTCTGCATGTGGAATTCTGGACACAGACACAGTGTGAGATCTGTATGAAGGTCAAGTCTACTTCCACTTGGCATAATTCCATTTTTATGTTGGGTTTCTGACATGGTAGACTCTAGAAGTTAAATTGTGCCAAGTGGTCACGGTTTGAAAGACAGAAAAGGCTGGCAGGGAAGCCACGGGGTGAGGTAGGCTTGTCAGGTGTGATAGCCAAGGCTGAGACTCAGCAGACAAACTCAGCAGGAGATGAATGTGAACTGAAGCACAACCAGCCAAGCAGGGCTTCCAGGAAAGGGGAGGGTTTCTGTTTTTGTTTTTCTGGCAGGTAATGGGTCAGTTTTTCTATTTCAATAGGTCAGGTTACAAAGCTTAGGTTTATTCAGCCTGTCCAAAGAGAGCCATGGAAACATGTACTAGTATGACTCACAGAATGCAGAATGCATTTTCTGAGAAACTCCCAGTCAACAGAGTATCTGCATACCTAAGAAAAGTTGATATTAAGTCCATGAAGCTCCTGGTAAAAATAGAGGACAGCTAAGGATCATTCACTTTCACAATCTGGAATCTGAAACAGACTTTCTTTTAACTACTGAATTAAATGAAGTCCCACCATCTGCCATTTAATTGTCTCACTTTCAGCTCTATGCAATCATCCTGTAGACAGACAGACAAGCAGCAATGAAGCAGTGTATCAACAGCCATCACCCAATCTATGCTGAACTAGTGCACACAGCTGGACTTGCTGCTGCCCCCCTTGCTGCCACCTCAGCATCTCACACACTGACAGTGATGACGGTGTCAAATGACAGGTAATAATCACATAGCTTTATGGGGTGCAGTGTGATATGCCCCATCCACTACACCTTGTATCAACTGGCTGGGGCACTTAGGTCATCCACCTTCTCAGACTGTATTACTTCTCTGGGATGAGACCTTCAAAGTCCTCTCTTCTGGTTATTTTGAGCTATGTATCATTTTACAATGAAATACCTCTAGAGACAAGCCAAGTGTATTATCTGGTTCCAAAGAAGTAGCAACTCATTCCCACACCACTTATATGGTAACCCTTACACTAACCAGAGGATGGGGTATTGTTTTCCAATGTGATAACTTCCAAAGAGGTTTTCAAAACAATTCTCAAACAGTTTTTTTCTGGATATATGACTCTTCTGTACTCTTAGCCCAATCGGTCCCTTAACATCTCATAAGTTATGGTGGTGTGGTCAAAAAATAGTGCCATCAACATAGTAAAAATGTCGATACTCCCAAAAGTAATCTACATGTTTAATGCAATTCCCATCAAAATTCCAATGACATTCATTAAAGAGATTGAAAAATCTACTGTGAAATTTATATGGAAACACAAGAGGCCATGAATAGCCAAGGCAATATTCAGTCAAAAGAACAATGCAGGAGGTATCACAATACCTGACTTCAAACTATATTACAAAGCAACAACAATAAAAACAGCATAGTACTGGCACAAAAACAGACATGAAGACCAGTGGAACAGAATAGAGGACCCAGATATGAAGCCACACAACTATAACCAACTTGTCTTTGACAAAGTTGCTAAAAATATACAATGGAGAAATAGCAGCCTCTTCAACAAAAACTGCTGGGAAAACTGATTAGCAGTCTGCAAAAAACTGAAACTAGATCCATGTATATCACCCTATACCAATATTAACTCAAAATGGATCAAGGATCTTAATATCAGACCCCAAACTCTCAAGTTGATACAGGAAAGAGTAGGAAATACTCTGGAGTTAGTTAGTAGGTATAGGTAAAAACTTTCTCAACAAAACCCCAGCAGCACAGCAACTAAGAGATAGCATAGATAAATGGGACCTCATAAAGCTAAAAAGCTTCTGTTCATCAAAAGAAATGGTCTCTAAACTGAAGAGAACACCCACAGAGTGGGAGAAAATATTTTCCAACTATACATCAGACAAAGGACATATAACCAGAATATATAGGGAACTTAAAAAACTAAATTCTCCCAGAATTAATGAACCAATAAAGAAGTAGGCAAGTGAACTAAACAGAACTTTCTCAAAAGAAGAAATTCAAATGGCCAAAAAACAAATGAAAAAATGCTCACCATCTCTAGCAATAAAGGAAATGCAAATTAAAACCACACTAAGATTCCACCTCACCCCTGTTAGAATAGCCATCATCAGCAACACCACCAACAACAGGTGTTGGGGGTGGGGGGAAGGAACCCCTCTTACACTGTTGGTGGGAATGTAAACTAGTACAACCACTCTGGAAAAAAATTTGGAGGCTACTTAAAAAGCTAGACATTGATCTACCATTTGATCCAGCAATACCACTCTTGGGGATATACCCAAAAGACTGTGACACAGGTTACTCCAGAGGCACCTGCACACCCATGTTTATTGCAGCACTATTCACAATAGCCAAGTTATGGAAACAGCCAAGATGCCCCACTACTGATGAATGGATTAAGAAAATGTGGTATCTATACACAATGGAATTTTATGCAGCCATGAAGAAGAACAAAATGTTATCATTTGCTGGTAAATGGATGGAATTGGAGAACATCATTCTGAGTGAGGTTAGCCTGGCCCAAAAGACCAAAAATCGTATGTTCTCCCTCCTATGTGGACATTAGATCAAGGGCAAACACAACAATGGGATTGGAGTTTGAGCACATGATAAAAGCGAGAGCACACAAGGGAGGGGTGAGGATAGGTAAGAAACTAGCTAGCATTTGTTGCCCTTAACGCAGAGAAACTAAAGCAGATACCTTAAAAGCAACTGAGGCCAATAGGAAAAGGGGACCAGGAGCTAGAGAAAAGCTGAGATCAAAAAGAATTAACCTAGAAGGTAACACACACGCACAGAAAATTAATGTGAGTCAACTCCGTGTATAGCTATCCTTATCTCAACCAGCAAAAACCCTTGTTCCTTCCTATTATTGCTTATACTCTCTCTACAACAAAATTAGAGATAAGGGCAAAATAGTTTCTGCTGGGTATTGAGGGGGTGGGGGGGGAGAGGGAGGGGGCAGAATGGGTGGTAAGGGAGGGGGGTGGGGGCAGGGGGGAGAAATGACCCAAGCCTTGTATGCACATATGAATAATGAAAGAAAAAAAAATAGTGCCAAACTTCTCAATTTTAGCTTGGAGATACCCAAAATGTGTGCCAGTGTGCCTCAGGGCACTATAGCAAGCAAACTCACGAGGGTGTTGCTGTGCATATTTGAATTTTAGAGGGACAGCCATACCTGGCATCTCTCAGACATTGCGGGAACTCCAGTCAAGCCAGACCACAGCTCAACAACAGCTTATTTCTGTGTGATGACATCATTTCTTTCCAAAAGGCAGGTGTATGATATAAAGCAAGTGTTGTACGAAAAGTGACCTGGAACAAGGAAATTAGGGTAGCAGGAGCCAGTCTGATCTGAAGGTTTGAGAAGCTGTGACATGATTGGTGATAAATCTGTTTCACACCCCAAATCCATCCCATTACCTGCAGTGAGGAAAGGAAGAAGGGACCAGCCCACACAATTCTAAGTTTCCCTCAGGTGACTTGTGGCAGAGTGGCTCCAGTGAGTCCCCCCTTCCCCTAGGAACAGTGGTCCTCAGCATGGTAGAGGGTGGGTTTCCAGCAAGTTCTACAGCACAGCATTGCATTACTCCTCTGCCACACAGAGACCGGTGGCCAGCCACCTCCTGAGTTCAAGGTTGAGGTTGGGAGCGCAGAGAAGCTTGTGGAGTGCTAGGTGTCAGACCTGGGCAGGGGCTCGCTACTTCTGACTCCTTCTGCTTAATGCTTCTTCTAGTAATTTACTTTATTATTACTACTGTTATTTTTAATTGTGATAAAATATATGTAACATAAAACTTGCATCTTAACCATTTTTTAGTGTACAGATCAATGGTATGAAATACACTCACATTTTGTATAAACGTTGCCTGCCATGCATCTCCAGAACCTTCTCATGTTGTAAAACTTTTTTTTGAGGGGAGGAGGACAATACTGGGGTTTGAACTCAGGACCTTGCACCTGCTAGGCAAGAGCTCTACTACTTGAACCTCATCCCCAGTCCTTTTTGTGTTGGTTATTTTAGAGACAGGGTCTCACTTTATGCCCTGGCCAGCCAGGACAGTTATCCTCCTGTTTATGCTTACCCCAGCAGCTGGAAAGACAGGCATTCACCCCCCATACCCATCTGTTGGTTGAAATGGGGTCTCACTAACTTTTAGGCTGGCTTCCAGCTGTGATCCTTCTGATCCACACCTCCTGAGTAGCTTGGATTACAGACATGAGCAACTATGCCCAGCTGTAAAGGTGGTGTTTGATGGGCTATTTTCTAACTCTAGAATTTGACTACTATAGGTTAACTCACATAAATGGAGTTATTCAGAATTTACCTTTTTTCTTCTCCCGATATGGAATGCTTCACAAATTTGCATGTCATCCTTGCACAGGGGCCATGCTAATTTTCTCTGTATCATTCCAGTTTTTTTTAAGTATATGTGCTGCTGAAGCAAGCACCAGAATTTGTCTTTTTGTGACTGGCTACTTCACTTGGCATAATGTCCTCAAGAATCATGTTGCAGCAGAAGTCCCTTTTAAAGGCTGAATGATATTCCATTCCATCTCTGTGTCACATATGGTTTATTCATAATTCCAGAGATGCACACATGGGTTGCTTCTGCCTTTGGTCATTGTGAGCAACGCTGCTGTGACCGTGATGCACAAATGTCTCTGAGACCGTTTCTACTACTTTGAGGGTGTGCCCAGAAATGGGACTACAGGATCATATGGATTTTGTGTGAGTGTGTGTATGTGTGTGTGTGTGTGTGTGTCTGTGTGTGGTACTGGGGCTTGAAGTCAGGGCCTTCACCTTGAGCCACTCCGCCAACCCTTTTTGTGAAGGGTTTTTTGAGATGGGGTCTCATGAACTATTTGCCCTGGCTGGCTTTGAACCACGATCCTCCTGATTTCTGCCTCCTGAGTAGCTGGGATTACAGGTGTGAGCCACCGGCACCTGGCTCATGTGGCCATTTTTAATGTTCTGAGGAACTGTTGTAGTGTTTTACCTGTTAACACTTCTGTATTAAACCTTTATGTTTGAATTACTGGATAAACTGTTAGTCTCCTGATGGGACTTGGATGAGAAATGTAGTAGTAAATAAATAAAAGACACTTTTTTTATCTTTTAATTTGTCTGTTATTATCTCATAGGATTACAAAGCTATTACTACATAAGTATTGAGTTGTCTGAACCTAAGCACTTAATTAATGAAACTGTTAGGTGTCCCTTTCATCCTAGAAATGACATGAAAAAATAACCAAGACACTAGGGTGCCATGAACACCTGGGAACCTGTGCTCTGGCTCACATATTTCCCAGTGTCTTTACGATCTGTCTGCTTGGATGGCTCACAGGATCATGACACCCAAGGGCATCCTTTTCCCTCCAGGCACGGACAGACCCATCACCCCGCCTGGACACAGCATCTTGATTTTCATTACACATTTTACATTAAGTTTTTCCCCCCCTAGGCAAGAATGGCTGGAGACCACTGATGATTATCCTTCACTTATGCTGTGTTCCCTTATCTCTAGTTTAAGAAGACCTATAATCAAAATACCTCCTAGAAAGACCTCCTGTTCCTGCACTGGTCTGTCAAGCCATCATCTCCACTTGACATTGACTAAGATTTTAAGTTGGTTTCTCTTAAGCAAGACCATGGGTTGAAAATTCAAATGCCTACCAAGGGAGGCATCCACACCTGCCACAGCTAGGGGTACCTCAGTTCCCACGCTATGTAGGCCATACAGATAGCCAGTCTGTGCCAGGGCTCCACTCCCAGAATGCCTGCTGGCATGCCTTTTCCCAAAGAAAGCAACCAAAGTGCAAGTGGACAGGATAAGTGCATGACCATGTGCCCACATGCTCCCAGCTATGAGTGGCTTACAAGTAAGCAATCATTCAGAAACTTCTGACACTTGTTTCCATTAACTGGAAGTGACTTCAAAGAACCTTAGGATGAATCATGCCCCCTAGCAGCCCCACTGTGGGGGCAGCTATGTCAGGCTGAATTTTCCACTGTGCTATACCTTCTTTCTGTCCCTCCCCAAGCCCTGCTCAGGCCCCCACTCCTCCATAGAGCCCATGAAAGCCCACAGTGAACTTCTACTATACTTAAGTAGTAATCTTGATGTCAGTTGTCTTTTGAGGCAGATAACTCAGCTCTATTATTTAAAATACAACCACCCATAAATCTAACAAGTTTCCAAAACTTCTGATAGAAAACGAGTCCAGAAGAAAATAACTGTGACAGCTGCAAGCCTTCTGTTTTACAGCACTCAGGGAATAGACAGACACCCTTCCTTTGACATTCTTGCAAACAGAGTGCTGAGTCCACGCTTGTACCAACGGGCTGTGCATGCCTTAAGAGACGCCTCCTAGCCACTATCCACCCACCACAGTAGCCATAGCAACCATTAACAAGATGGACTGAATGGAATTACACTTCCCCTGGTGGAATTTCCAGGTCCAGCAAGATGGGGCAACAACCGGCCATCCTCAGATGGGAACTTTGTTTCCTTTAAAAACTATATCCCAAGTGGCCACCTGAATCCAGACACTAATAAGTCTCAGATGGGAATTCCACACACCTCTCTTTTGGCCTGAATTTCTTTCAGGCAGTAAACATTCTATTAAGCAAGTCTCCTAGGAATGACTGGCCTTCAGAGACTGGTATTGTTTACAATATGCTGTGAATTTAAAGCCAATTTGGGATCCATCATCACACAACATAATTAATTTTGTCATCTGTTTTCTTCATGGCTGAAATCTGTTAATGTAAAAGGCAGCAATTTATAAAAGCTGACTTCAGAGGAGTAGGACTAGAATAATGGTCACCAAAGGCAAGGAAGGAAAGAGGGGAGGGGTAGAATAATGGGCACCAAAATACAAGTATATGGGAAGAGTAAGTTCTAGTGCTCTACAGCACAGTCAAATGGCCATAATTAGAAGAGTTCAAAGCTTCTCATCATAAAGAAATGATGATCATAAAGAAATGATGAGGGATGGTGGTGCACATCTGCAATTCTAGCGTGGGAGGCAGAGATAGGAGGATCATTGTTTGAGGCCAGATGGAGCAAAAGTTACCACGACCCCATCTCAAAGACAAGCTGAGTATGGTGGCATGCATCTGCAATCCCAGCTACTCAGAGTGGAGGCAGAAGGATCACAGTCTAAGGACAGCCTAAGGCAAAAGCTGGAGACCCTGTCTAAGAACAAACAAAAGTACAAAAGGGCAGGGGATATGGCTCAAGTGGTAGAGTGCCTGCCTAGCAAGGACAAGGACCTGAGTTCAAACCCAGTACCACCAGAAAAAAAAAAAAAGAAAAAGAAAAAAATAAATCTTTAAGGAGCTGGAAATGCTAATTTCCTTGATTTCATCATTACACATTATATAACATCCATTTGTTACACTGTAACTCATAAATAGGCACAAATATTGCATCAAAATTAAAAAATTAAAAAAAAATACCACCTTGATTGTCCCAAATACATTCTTATGTGGAAGGAAGAAGTATCCCCCGGCCATCTCCCCAAATTCTAAATCAGCAATCGAGTTTAGACCCAAACGTTTCATGTGCTTTAACGAAGCTATGTCAGTCTCACAAGCAGTGGTAAGTATAATTTACCAAGCTGGGCACATTACAGAGCACGTCTCTGCTCATGTACGCCTCGCATGGTGGTGCTTTCTAGCCAGTAGAGTTCTTCTGCACACCATCACTGACCCTCTCCACAACCTGTAAGGAAGAATTCTTGGGTATCAATGGCAGTGCTCGCTTTGAGGAGGCTACTGCTCCTCAGCAACATGAAGTGACCAGCCCACAGCCACCTCACTAGGCCAGTGTGAGTCAGACTAGAACACAGCTCTTCTCTCCTCCTTCCATGCTAGCTTTTCTCTAGCATGGTGCTGCTGGTTGAGCAAGACACAAGTTTTCATTCTGCAAGGCAAACCCGGCAGATGCCCCAGGAGGAGAGGGACACAGAGCCGGGAGGAAGGTGGAAAGAAAGTGGACTTGGAGGCGACTGAGGGGAAGGCATTAGTAGAAAAGGGAAATCCAGAGGAGGAACAGGTGTGGCAACAAGGCGGAGGGAGGACTCCACATTGCGGTCTGAGTCTGACTGACGTCTGAGGTCTGAGTGGGCACCTCTTAGGCTCACTTCCCCCATAAGGGGCTCTATCCAGGGGTGCAGCGTCTTCTCTGCAGCTCAGTCTTTGCTGAGAACATTTCCAGAACTGGTATGACAGGTGACCCCACTCTTCTCTTAACAAAGGCACAGCACAAGCTATTTTGAAGCAGATTATTGTTAAGCATGCCTTCTATTAACAGAGACATGAGCCTACTTTTGCTCACTAAGTCTAATAAAAGTTGTCCTTTCTCATTTTCTTTACACCCAGCAAAAATTTCTGCCTATTTCCAAGGAACAAGAAGAGGAAAATGATCAGGATTTCACATTCTTTGTATTTTATTTTTTTCAAACAAGGTTTTATTATTGATCCCAGGCTAGCCTTGAACTTGTGATCTTCTTGCCTCACCTCCTGACTGCTGGGATTACACTATGCTCCACCACACCTGACTCTTCATTCTCTTAAAATGCTCTAGAACTAGAGCCCATTCTAGCACACAGGTCTACAGAACAGACGGAACACCCTTAACACAGTGCAGCCCTGTTTTCAGATGGTGGGGAGAACCACTGGGTTCTAAAATAAATTAAGTAGCATTGTATGCATTTCAAATCATCTTGAACTTTTCTTAA